TAGGCTCAGTCTCCAGCCGTCGGGATTTCGTGCGCCCGCGATACTCTCTCCCCTGACGGCTGGGCGCATGGGGTTCGAAACGTGTCGCGCATGTCCGTGACGTTTTTGTGTAATTAGCATATTATGAATAACGGAAGTGAATTTTTCAGTGAACGGAAGTGAAATATCTGACAACAGCCGTATTAAAAGGTTTTGCTACAAGGCGGGAAATTATGTGAAATGAAAACTTCGCGAAGTGGCGATATAATGTAATAGTTAGCGCTTTAAAAAAGAGAAAGGAATGGAAATTACCCCAAGTAAAACATGTGTAGGGTTTAATAATCCAAATGGATATATTATCTGCCAGAAAGACGAGCAAAATACACTAGTGGCGCTGTTTGAAAAATAAGAGATTTGCCCGAGCCAGTAGGAAGAATAACAAGGACATCTTTTCCAAGAACAATCTCTTTAAGAGCCTTTTGCTGTATTTCTCTAAATTCGTCCAAGCTAAACGACTTCAGAGCGTTCAAACGAGAATCTCAAACGACGAATTGTCCGCCATTTTGTTACACTGCGACGACGGCTGCCTGCTAATTTATTAATGATATGCCCCTGAAAATATCGGGGGCCACTCCCTGATTGGTCGAAACTGACAATAGCGAACCCCATGCGCCCAGCCGTCAGGGGAGAGAGTATCGCGGGCGCACGAAATCCCGACGGCTGGAGACTGAGCCTAGGTCAACCGTCAACCATCAAATAAACAAAATTTTAGCCGTCAAACCGTCAAATCGCTTGCTTTTCTGTCAAGATCGTTGGCACAATGAATTGCAAAATATTTTTCGAAAAAAATGAGGGTTTTACAGTAATCCTCTCCCTCTCTTGTAGCTGTTGCGACGACCAGTTCTTTCAAACTTTTATGCGCGAATTTCAACAATGTTTCATATCCAAGCAACCGTGATCCTGATCCGAAAGCTCAAATCCTGATCAWTGATCCAAAACCATTTATTTAATCTTATCACTGTTCACGTAAACGATGCTGGTAACGAATAAAAATTGATGGTTGTTATCATGTATTTCCATCAACAGTGAATGTTTTGTTTCAAAAAGTTGTAAAAAACTAAGCTTTTTTTGCTCGGGGCTTCTGAACTATAGGTGTTTTCAACCCAATAAAAATTGGTGTTTTAACCAATATAAAATCCATAGAATCAACCATAAAGAACTGATCAAAATAACCATAGCATTTTGAAGTTTTGTTGACATGGCGTTATTATAATACTGAAAATAAAAAAAAAAAATACCTGAAATCTTTTGTATGATGTCTGGATTGAAGTATGAGCACTTCCAGCCAAGATTGTACTCTTTCTTTTTAAAACGAACGATCGAACGCGGTCATGACCGGAGGGGGTCATTATAGTGCGTCTCGAACACCGCAATACCGCGGCAAAGAAAAGTAAGATGGTTCAAAAAATATTATAATTAAAATCAATTAATCACATTTTTTAGCTGTGATTATTATATAACCATTAAGGATTGGCCAAAATATAACCAATTATTTTTGGCTTGCGATTATAACCATCCAGAATTGGTCAAAATATAACCAATTATTTTTAGGTTGTGATTATAACCATTAAGAATTGGTCAAAATATAACCAATTATTTTTTGGCTGTGATTATAACCATTAACCCCTAGGGGACCAACCACGCATAAACACTTATAAACGGGTTTTTAGGTAAATTTAGGCTCAACCGGTCGRTAARCAAACGGTCTGGCCTAAATTTACAAAACCCTGCATAAATTAACRCTGCCTAGGGAATTCAAATCCGAAATAGTTTTATTGACAGCACCTTATATGGAAGTCAATTATTTTATCAAGATGTTAGGGTCGAAAATGCTCCAAAATCAACAAATAAATGCCGGTCCTCTAAGGGTTAAGAATTGGTAAATATAACCAACTGTATTTATGTTATCATCATAACCAATTTTAGATTCGTTATTTAAACCATTATAATTGGTTAAAACAACCACTTTGAATTTGGTAGCATATTTAACCATTATAAAATTGGTTAATTTAACCAATTCGAATTGGTTATAACCCATTATAATTGGCTGTTTCAACCAATCCGCATTTACAGTGTAAAATCATTCATATTTTGCTTTTAAATTATGTGCAAACTATCATTAAAGCAAGTGAAAACCTCCTTCACAGGCAACTCTCTGTCGCTCTGTATGTCTGTGATTTTAAGAAATCTCATTAAAAACTAAGAATTGAGGGAAATAGGTTATTAAAATGTATGAAATATTTATCAAGCTAAGAATAAAAATAGTGAGATTCAACTAAATACTTGTTAGTATCATTCAACGCTAAAACCACGAAAAAACTGTATCACTATCCTATTTTGAGTGGTGCCGTAACTAAATGTCAATTTTCCATTTCTTTTAACTCCAACTACAATTGTCGTAGGGATTTTAAACAATTGCTTAATAGCCTCACGACAGTTGTAGCCATGTCGTAGGATGACTTAAGCAGGTCGCATGCGATAGTTGTAGGGATTTCTTTTAACTCCAACTACAATTGTCGTAGGGATTTTAAACAATTGCTTAATAGCCTCACGACAGTTGTAGCCATGTCGTAGGATGACTTAAGCAGGTCGCATGCGATAGTTGTAGGGAAAAGTTGTGTCGTCTAAATCGGCCTTAATTAACAAGGTCTATCAGGAATCAAGTTATGGTTAGGTGCCTCAATTGTTGAATTGGTTTAGCGAAGATCTTTGGCTGATTGTGGAGTCAAGTGATTTTACAATGCCTATGACRCCTGACACAATAATTGCTGATTCTCTGTGAGCTGATTCTAGTCGCTCTATATTGCCTACAATAAATTAATTAATGTTTTCATGAACGCCATCTGGGAATATGGTTATTCCCTATTYKKCATCACGATAAATTTAATGTCATTAAACCATYACTAAGCGAATCCTTCAAAAGTTTGTATRTCAAATGAAGCCTTCTTTGACGTCATTTTTATTAACATATTGTAAGATTAAACTTCTTCATAATTCAAAGACGCAACACTGAAATGCAGGAATATTTCACCATTCAAATATTTGCTCTATATAGAATCAGCTCACAGAGAATCAGCCATTATTGTGTCATAGGCACTTTATGTAGTCTTACTGTTAAGATTATGGAGTCAATTAATAATTTTCAATCATGCATTACCATGAGATTCAAAGGACAAAAGCCCGAAGGCCATGCTGGATGAATGAACAATAAATACTWATGCGAAATCCTTAATTGAAGTTCATCCAAGATGGCCGCTATGACCTATATTGAAAACAAAGAATATTTTAACAACGTCAGAGAAGTTATTAAGAGTGAATTTCATCGGATTGTGGAACAGTTATTAGTCCGTGGGAGTATTAAAAAAGCAGTAAAAACTAATCGAGATTTGAATTGAMTTGCGTTATTATGTATCCAGAGTCATGACATGATCGGATGTGGGATCAGGTATCAGCATTATTTTGGGGATCAAGGATTTTTTTCTTTTGAATCGGGATCACAAGTATTAGCTTCTGCTTGAAATGAATTTGAAAATATAAATGTATGGCCGGGATCAATCAAATTTTGTGGGATCAGGGATCAAWTTTGAACAGAAACTTGGGATCAGGGATTTTAAAATCTTAAAATTTTCGTGACTAAACTGGATCGCGAGTAAAAAAATATTCCAAATCTCGACCCTGATATCTTATCCCAATATTYCATCAATATGAAAGCAGTCGTTTTATTGGCTTGAGGTTTGAAGTGAACGCACTCAATGTACTAAGTGTACTAATTTCTTCGTAATACTTCGTGCAATACTCCTTTGTTAAGTATACAAAGCTTAATTGTTGTTTACAGATTCAACTTGCAGCTTATCTCAGCAGGAGTATAGTCATTAAAACATTATGTGTCAAATAATGATAATAATAAATGTTTCCAATAGTTTTCGAAGATATCGTTTTAAGATTCTTTGCCTTAGACGACAAGGCGCGGCGCTGAAGGACACAGAGATCTCGTGTAGAATATGGGTCCATGGAGGATAATTATTTTCGCGCACTTGATGGAATATTCGGGAAGTTTTCACCGACTGTAGGGAGGTAAAAGAAATGGAAAATTTTCATTTAGTTATGACACTACTCAAGTTAGGATAGTGATTATAGTTTTTTCATGTTTTTAACGTTTTGCTAATTTGCATTTTTTTGAGTTCCGGCTGAATGATACTAACAATTAGCACGTCGAATCTCACTTACTTATTCCCAAAATGTTAGCTTGATAATTATTTCATGCATTTCAAACCTATTTCCCTCAATTCTTAGTTTTTAATGAGTTTCTTTAAAAAAATCACAGTCAGAAAGACCGAGCGACAGTGAGATGCCTATGAAGGAGGTTCGATTTGATTTGCACATAATTTGAAAGCAAAATTTGAATGATTTTTTATTACTTCAGAAAAAGGAAGACATGTTTATTAGTCAACATTTCTATCGCAGCTATCAAATACTGAATTAAAGTTAGGATCAATTACAATATACTGATAAGACTAAATAGCACTAATAAGGAGTAGTTAATTTAAATTAAAATTTCAGCCTGACAGGTTTTAAATGTTTACGCGTGGTTTACTGCACGATATTAAAGATCTTAAAAACAAACGTTTATTGAACATTCAGCAAACTTTCTTTTTCTTCATTATCATCACCGTCCTCTAAACCTTCTCCAACAGCTCTACGCCTGATGCCTTGAGTTTTGATAGTGATAACGACGAAGCCAGTGATTATCAGTGCCATAGCACCCATGACATGCCAAGTGGCGACGATGCCTACGAACTCTCGGTTTCCACGGGTATTCTTCCATGGTTTGGCAACATACAGCGAGAAAGCGATTTGGAAAACCCATGTCCCTTGGAGGCCGAAGAGAGCAGTACGGATCACCATCAACAAGAAGCTATTTTTTCTCCATGCTTCAAGTAGGAAAACAACGGCTGATGTAAAAGTTATGACCATAACAACGTGATGGAACACCTTGTCTATTTCAGTTCTCCCTTGCAAGTGAAAGAAGAAAAGAAACCCTACGTTTAGGAAGGCAATGGAAGCAAACACATGTTCAATGCATTGAGGCAGTCGGGTCAGACGGTAAAACTGCAAGACCTCGACCAGAGACCACATCATGAATGAACCATACATCACGCCGTGAGAGTAGT